TGTAATATTATATTATTATATTCGCTTATATATATGCTTAAAATTGTTTTTAAATTTAATTTTTGTCAGCATCATCTTTAAGAATAGTTACTAATCGATTACGTTCATACTTACGTCTGGCAAGCATTGCTCTTCTAAGTAATTCTCATTGACTGAAATGAGAGCAGAAGACTTACATGACTAAAATGCAATTTTACTCGTTGCATACTTTCCCTTATTAAATTTCTTTTAGTGCATTATCGAGTCAAACTTCAGTTTTTGCTCTTAAGATACTAAAAGTAGGTAATAAGATAATTGATATGGCAAGCTATGCTAAATCAATTGAATATATGTCTTACTTAAGTACCACTCAAGAGTCAGACAACTGTGAATCACATTTAGCATCGAGAACAATTGACATTTGTGACGTGTGTGAAGTGTTTTTGTTGTGAAGCCTTTGAGTTGTAGATTGTTGTCTTTACCTTTTGTAAGTACTTCAAATTGGCCAGGTTCGATTCCGTTGTTGCCTGATTGTTTTCGATGCTTTTAACAACTGATTTTCAACTTAATTGCTTCGCTGAGGGTCTGGTCTCAACGGCGAATCGCAGCCAACCAACAGCCAACGTCTGCCAGCGAGTCAGGCCGTAGGTAGAGTGAGCCGTAGGTGGTCCCATAACGAGCTAATGAAATGTACGCAGYTACAACYACACTGAGTCAGGAGCTKTCAAAACTGACGAMTCCACTTGCCAGCAAGAAAAACAAAAAATACATGCAAATTGCTCGGTAATTGCATAACTTATCATCATCAACTAAAGTGTTTTCGCTTGCTCTTGGGATGATGTATGTGAATGCTAATATAACCAAGAACAACAACAATTGTCTTAAGAAAATAACAGAAAAAGCTGAGAAAAGATTTGCTCTTGTATAATTTTACTGAAATATACATATGTATAATTAGAACTATAACTGTTGATTCAGATTGCAATAATTTGCTTATTTATGCTTGAATTAATTATGATGTTGATCAATATGAATACAATAAATTAATTTGTATAGATTTTAAGGTGTAATTCATATAAAAATGAATTTAGTAACAAATATTATAACTATACTTTTGTTATATAAAAAGCTTTTTAAATACATTCGCGTTCTTATAACTTGTACCCAGCTAAGTCGAAAACATCAGTAATTCATTAGCTGTTGTCCCCCAAAAAATTCGATTAAGCTAAATTGAAAAATTGCACCGACCTGACACGAAATAGTCCCGGTTTTCTACCGTTTTGATAAAAAAATAATTATTATGGCAAAATGAAACTCAAAATGCAAACTCGAAGAAGTTTTTGTCGAAACAACTGAAAATTTTATTTGAGAAAAGCGACGCAGATAAGTTAGTAGTTTTCTTCTATGTAATTCCTTTGCACGATGCAAAGAATAACTAATTTGTTGGTAGAGAACGTTAAAAACATACAAGCATGGCCGTAAGGCAGTACATTTTTACATACATTTAAGTATGACGTACATATATAAATACTTTTATATATTATATATAAGCATGTAATACATATCTTTTCTTATAATAAGGTTAAAGTTCCAGTTATTCGAAAAAGAATTTTTGATAACAATTCGAAAAGTGCTATTCTCTCGGGATATAAAATTATCGGGAATCGAATTTATTTGAATAACCTTTAGAGTTGTCGCAGAGTATGCTCTGCAAGTGTCTGGTGGCAGCCCTAGATAAGCCTATCGATAACCGTGGAAGCTCAGCAGCTTTTATTGAGTTGTCATTGAGCGTGTTGAATATAAAAGTCGATTGGTATCAGCAATTAAGTTCCAGTTTTCAGAACATTTGGATTCCTTTAAGTTTAAAGGGGCGACTCTGGTTGGATTTGCTAATTGACACGTCGTTGGCTGGGTTTGTATTGCGTTTAATTAATGGCGATCATTAAAATTTGCATGCGATTGCGCGAATGTGAATTAATGTCCAGGCCAGTTGACCAGCTGGGCAGAACAGGCTTGGATTATTTTTAGATGTTTAGGGCACAGCGAAATTGCAGCTGGCCTCTACTCTTGGCGGCCTTTTGACGAGCTGAAAACCAGTTGAGCAGCGATGCGGCAACAAASTGAGCAACTGCTGTGACCCTCTGTGTAGGTGTCGTTGTCGTTGTCAGCGCCGGCTGAGCCTCGACTTGTCAATATCGTTTACATCAGCCTCATATTGGACGCCCAACTAGAGAGTGTCAACTCCCGGACAGTCGGCCATCGGCCATCGGCCACCGGCAAGCGACTACAACCCGTTTTGCTGTTAGCCAAAGTCTAAGCACAGTTGGCCCCTTGTCACTGGCCACTTGGCTGTCAGCCAGCGGCGCCTGCGGTTGACACTTTTTCGCGCCGACACGCCCGCTAATCCTCTCATGCATAGCAGCTGGCGGGGTCGAGTGGCCCGGCCACCGAGATGACTTGGCACGTTGAGCAGCGCGACTGAAGCGGAGACAACGCAGACAATGACAGTGACGGACCCAGCTGGTGGCCGAGACCCAATTTGTTGCGCACACACAAAACCTTAGCCATAATAACTGTGTTAGCCCCCAAAGACCCAAAGATATCGTTTACACGCTCACCGCTCTCAAGTGACAAACTCAATAATAGCTTTGTGCGWMCRCAGACTTACGTTTATTTATTTACAGCACCTTTATTTTGGCGAACACCTCTTTAAGATGTCCAGTTCCAAGGAAAAGGCAAAGAAAGAGAGGAGGTAAGACTGCGATTAGCCAGAGTAGATTTGTTTCAAAAATTGGTAAGTATTCAAAATGTTTTTCGCGGAATGATGTTAAAGTCACTTTGCCCAAGGATCAGTCAAGTCAAGGCTTGAATAGCTAAACTCTGTTCCGAAAATCAAGTATATATAATAAGTCTAATATGTAACCCAAACCGATAGATATTTCGATCTAATGCTTCGATGCGTTCGATGAATAAGTGTTCTTCGAGATCTATCAAAGTTCTTACTTCGTTTTACTAAATGGAATTCTCTTGATTCTTAAAACTCCTCAGCCCCAAGGCGCCAAGCCATGGCAGTGTCATGGTGGGAGTTTCATTTGATGATGGCATTATCTTGGCCGTCAATTCAGTGAACAATCTGATTTACTATTTGGATGATCAAATCTAGTAAGCCCATCTTAATCTATAATATCTGCTATCCATCTAATGTTACTCATCGATACATTTTAGCTGCTGCGCAAATAGCGCCGGATACGATCGCGAAATGTTGGTAGATGCGTCCAGCAAGCTGGAAAGTTCGCGCGCGAGTAATTCGCGCATTTTGGTGTCTCAAGTGGTGGAACTGATTTCAAGGCTGTCCGACAAGGCCAACCCCACGGAGCTGCTTCTGGCTGGCGAGGATGTGACAGGCCTGTACCTAGTAACAATGGCAGCCTCACAGCCCATTTCGCTGGTAAATTTTGCGGCAATGGGCGACGGAGCTACTGGGCAGACTGGACCCGCCGAATATCTGAAAAACCACTGGCAACCGGCCATGAGCCTTAAGCAGGCGGAAGCTCTGGCCCGCCATACTGTGACCTTGGGTGGTGGGCAAAGATTGTGCGCCGATGTGTGCATCGTATTCAAGCGACCGCCAGCTCCACTCCGAATGGAGCGCCTAACCTCTCTGAGGTACCATAATCAAAAGAAGAGATAATTTAGCTATCCATTCGGTTTGACTGATTTGCTGTTAATTCTTAAATGTTTATCTTGCAGCATAAATAAATGAATCGCTGATGCTCAGCTGGCTACAAATAATTAACCACATTTCTCAGCGTTTGAGCTGGGGCAGCCAGGAATAGATTATCTCCCTAGCTGTAGCTGTAGCTGTAGCTGTAGCAAACGTCCTGCTCACGTCTCTCTGGGCCAGATGACTATCGCAATCGCAGGTCTCTGATGCTGCTGCTGCTGCTGCAGGTAAATGCAGAGTAAGCACAAATGATTTATGCGCCCGGGCAGCATATAATTAATAATGATTAAAAGCTGGCGCCCATCAACAGCCCCAGATGGACAACATGGTCATAAGCAACTCGATTCCTTGGGCTCCACGACTAATCGCCACAGACGGACTTTCCTACGAAATGAAAAGTGGCCGAGTCAAGATCAAAATCCACTCTCAGGCGCCCAGCGGACGACCCGCTGTGTCTGGATTAACTTGGAATTTATATACATATATATAAATGTATATATATGCGTATGGCATTTGAATGTTCCATATTGGGCCACGAGTTCACGATTCATTGCCTGGATGCCTGTTTGGCCTGTACGGTGAGCCCGCTTGGGTGCTGTGCGTGACCAGGTTTCATTTTCATTAGCCTCGTTACGTCTCGTGGGGCTGTGGCGCTCGGTGTGTGGTCCGACAGCACCTGGGTGGCATTATGTTGTCAGCCTCTTGATATTTACTGCAGCAAAACTTACTAATTGATTTTTGCCCAACAAGTTGTGCTGGATGGAGCGAGAGGTAGAGTGAGAGAGAGAGAGATATCTCCCTGTTTTTTGTGCGGTGTCATAATGGCAATTATTTTAATTACATATTATCACTAACCAGAGAACACATAGACTAGACAACTAGTGGAAAGCTTTTTGCACGCTTTTTTTGAGGCTTTAGCTTTTTCTCTGGTTAGTGATATTATTTAGTTGAACACGCCAAGCATATTTATAAAATTCATATTTGATTTAGTTGGTCTCATCGGGCTTCTGATAGTGGCGATACCCTCCACATATGCTCGTGAGCATAATCCTTGCTGTAGTCTCCAATGTCCTTCAGCACGAATTATGAATTGTAGATCTGTCAGCGTGTAATATTAATGTTTCTCGAATGCCTGAAAGGGCGCCATTCTTGCGTCTTGCCTTGCCATAATCTTTCTGTAAGGGTGCTCAAATTGAATGGCCATGGATGTGTAAACCTGAAGGCAAATATTGTGAGCATGATTGCTGAGCTTGTAGTTCTTCACAATGTTGTTGCGCGTTTGCACCACGCCCCGCAGCCTACAAGAAGTGCCAACCCATGTACAATGCGCCATATCCGAAGATGAAGCTGCATTATATCACTGACCAGYGAATATATTCAAAAATTGCAGTATGGGCTGCCCACCCCTTCATAGAGGGCATCATCTAGGGTTACCGACCCTTTAGTGAGTGATAATTAGACTGACCTTGAACGGGTACTAGCCGAAGGGCCGATCTGGCCACAGCATGAAATTTATCCCTCACTCGGCCAAGACACTTTACTTTGGGCACGTCCTTTTCTTCATGAATATCTTGGTACACATTAAAGAGCTTTAGGAAAAAATTTAGAAAAATAAAGTAAATCACATCCCAGAACTGAAAGCGACAATTATTTAATTGATATTAATACATTATATATGCATAAATTATTCAGAAGATTCTTTTTAACATAGCGCCGTAAGTGCGACAGTTCTGAGATCGAACCAGTTCTTTTGACACTCGATAACGACAGTTCGCATGTGCAGCTCTGGAAAGTGTACGTTGGCTCTTCAGCAATCGACAATCTAAAGTTCACGTGGTTGATTTCAAGCCAAATATCTTGTCAAAGCTTCTATATATTGGGCAAATAAATTAGCATCAGCATCAAAATGGGAAAACGAAAGACTAAAGCTCAATCGGTAACTTTTTAAACTCTTTGCATATTTAAACATGAACTAAATGTGAATAAACAATATTGATTTAGCGACCCGCCGGAAAGGTAGCTCTTGCAAAGGGAATGCAACGTAAGTTTAATATATTTATATATAGTTTATATGCATAAATTGTACATTTGTGTATGTTACAAATCTCCATATAAATATGTATTTCCATATTTTGCATCACGACAGCGATTCTCCCCTCAGTAGCTGCTGCTGCTGCAACCCCTCCTATTGCTCCAGAGGCACCAACCGAGCCTCCTGCACGGCGTCCACGTGTAAGTTTACGCATYCTTGTCAATTCGTTCCTTGCAAACTGTTGCCTCTTATTGCAGGGACGTCCACATAAAAGACCGTTGGGCGCAGCTCCGAGGGATGATAGTGTTGTAAACACTAACGCGGTACTGCACAACAATCCCCAATCCACGATCAGTGATGGCGGTGCTCAGTCTCCACGTGTAAGCTTTCGCTTCGTTTTGATTAGTTCCTTGCCAAGTATTGCCTCTTGTAGGGACGGCTTCGTAACAGACCGTTGGGTGCTGCTCCGGCGTCCAAGAGGGATGATAGTGTTGTAAACACTAATGCGGTACTGCTGGCCTCCTTGCAGGAGCACAGCAATCCTCAGGCCACGATCAATGATGGCGTTGCACCGTGTCCACGTGTAAGCTTTCACTTTTGCTTTGGTTAGTTCCTCGCCAACTAATGCTTATTATTGCAGGGACGTCCTCGTAAAAGACCGTTGGGTGCTGCTCCGGCGGCCCAGAGGGATGATAGTGTTGTAAGCACTAATGCGGTACGGGTGGCCTCCTTGCAGGAGCACCACGAGCCCCTGGCCACGATCAGTGATGGCGTTGCAAAGCGTCCACGTGTATGTTTTCGCCTTATTGTCAATACGTCCCTCGCTAACTATTGTCTCTTGTTTCAGGGACGTCCTCGTAAAAGACCGTTGGGCGCTGCTCCGTCGGCCCAGAGGGATGATAGTGCTGTAAACACTAATGCGGTACTGCACAACAATCCCCAAGCCACGATCAGTGATGGCGGTGCACAGTCTCCACGTGTAAGCTTTCGCTTTCGTTTTGATTAGTTCCTCGCCAACTGTTGCCATTTGTTACAGGGACGCCTTCGTAAAAGACCGTTAGGTCCTGCACCGGCGTCCAAGAGAGATGATAGTGTTGTAAACACTAATGTGGTACAGGTGGCCTCCTTACAGGAGCATAACAATCCCCAGGCCACGATCAATGATGGCGTTGCACAGCGTCCACGTGTAGGCTTTGGATTTCGTTTTGGTTAGTTCCTCGCCAACTTTTGCTTATTGTTGCAGGGACGTCCTCGTAAAAGGCCGTTGGGTGCTGCTCCGGCGTCCAGGAGGGAGGATAGTCTTGTCAACACTCATAAGGCTGCCGAGGCACTGCTGCGCTCTTTAAAGGACAGCAACCATCCCCAGGCCATGATCAATAATGGCTTTGCTCGTGGCCTCAAGCCAGATGTGATCCTCGCCGGGTTTATGTACGAAAAAAATCTGATGCTTGCGATGAAATTTAAAAACCGCAAGATGCCCGAGTTGGTGACCCCAAAGGAACTTAAGCTACGTGACCCAACCATGCTTATAAATTTTTATATAGACCATTTTTATTATCCCCACCACGATATACCTAAGAAGCCAATGTAATTATTATTTTAACCTTTACTTAATTATTGAGATAACCAATTATATACTGATTAGGCATGTAATGCCAAAACTGAAACAACTTCACTGCTTTGACGCCATCTTGAGAACCTCTAACAAAGCAGGGAATTCATAGCACTCATACAATCACAATTGTATGCCTGGAATGCACGTACTTGGAGTCTTTGTGTGTTTGCAGAGAAATATGCATGTGTGCACAGACATATAAAATGTATGGATGAGTTTGTAGGTTGCTACCACGTGCATTACCAAAAGTTTCGGTTCACTTAACGGATTTTAATGAAACTTCTCGCATTTGATATGCTAATACATATACATATGCACATCAAATTGAATATTTGCCAACTCATATTTATCAATTGCTATATTTGCAATTGACATTCATTTGAGAAGCTGGCATCAAAGAGAAGTTTGTGGAAGCATCAGCATCAAAATTATTCAGCAAATTATCCATTTCTGTTTGCTCTCTACGGGCAAGCACTTTTAGGGCAGGATTTGCAGCACTACTATGGATTCCCGTTCTCGCATATTCTCTTCTATTTTGGAATACGATTCCAATAAGGCTAGCTACTGTAGAGGATAGCTGCTGATGTCTAAATACTGGATTATTACGTTGATTTTAGAAAACTAAATGTTATCTTGGGAGAGTCTAGCTTTGGGCACTCCCTTTGAATGCTTGACTGGAAACTGCAGCCTCCTTAGGTAGTCTCAACTTACTTTGCCTTCTGCCTGCTACATATATTTTAAGGAATCTATTATACGCTGATTCCCTATTTAGAATGGGTTCAGGATATGATAGGAAGTTGGGACTGCCCACCTAGCAGAGAAACTGGAAAATCGGGATTTATAGCGCTTAACTGCAATATTTACATGAATGTACCATACAACGGCCAGAAAACTATATTAAGCTGGAAATAATTGATCTATTAAAATACATACATATGTATGTATTTATTTTTTCATCCAGCTTAGCTCCGTTTCTGATTTAGTTTATGTGTGTTGGCAATGCCATAAAAAAGCCAGTAGCACTATTCGATAATTCACTAGAATTGCATACATATATAAAGTATGGAAACACTTGGATTGCACCAGAACTACATAATCAATTAATTAGTTAATAATATAATAATAATTGAAATGCTCAAATTATATTCTTGATATGTACGTATGAAAATACATATGTATGTATATCTACCGAAATGCTCATCTGGGGCTCATCCACAATAAGCATATTTCTTGTGTAAGCCACAGGTGTCTTTTGGGCACCTTGCGTTCATCATGGGAGTATTTGCTTTGAGCATACAGATTTGCAAAGTTAACGTCGCATTAAGGCTACAATCACACTCTGGTTCACATATAAATTCAACTCGTGGCCAAATGCAATTCTCGTACTCTCATATATTCAGCAGCATTCGCGACTTTTCGCAAGGAGAGGCCACTACAACTACTACTGCAACAGCAGTAACAGCAGCAACAGAAGGAGGAGGAGGAGCAGGAGCAGGCGCAGCCGCAGCCGCAACAGCTCGAACGATGGAGCAGATAAATTTTCATGTTGTCACACCTGCGTCGTCGTTGCATGCACATAAATATAGATGGCTGTGTGTATGGGTGTGTGTGTGCGAATCGAGCCGCCAAAAGGTGGCATTGCAACCATTTCAGTCGAAATAAGATATCAAGGGAGAGGCATTCAGTTCGCACCCAGCTTGCCCAAAGAGGTGTAAAAAATTGAAAGCGAAATATTATTAAAATGCCGCATTGTTGGATGCTGCGATGCTCCTGCTGCCTGTTTCTTGGAAGTTGCATCACTCTCTTGTCTCGTTCTCACTCTCCCTCTCTCTCTCTCTCTCTGTCTGTCTGTCTGTCTGTGTCGCTGTGTGCATCTTTATTTATGGCGAATATTTGATTTGCGAATTTTCGTTTCTGGCACTCGTGTCTCGTGCTTCTGCTGGCTGGCATTGACAGTTTGACTGTGCGGCTCCGCCGGGCAGTCGAGGAGAACCTGGCTGCATAAATATTTGCTTATTTATGCACCAAAGTCAACACTCTCCGTACACAATGCACTCACACTGTGCGTATTCGAGTGCAAGCGGAATGCGGTTGAACATTTCTTCGTTTTTTCGGCTGTGCCCAAGCAACAGGTACGAAAATAAACTCACATTGCAAATAAATAACTCAGCGAATGATTAAAGGCTCTAGATAAGTGTGGCCTGAGCGACACAGATGTGATTTTAAGATAAGGAAACACATTGCACTAAGTGCTGCCAATATATGTGGATTATCAAAATTACACATACGCACCGTTGCGAAATGTTTGTTTTAGCTGTTTNAAAATTAAATATAACAAAATATAAATCATAATAATAAAAATTGTGGAAATATAAGAAACCTTTACTTATCAAATAAGCCAATATCCTTCGTAGCACCAATTTCACTGGAGCGAAATTTGTAAATATAAATCAATATACCCTATAGGATTTATATATAAATATGTACAGCAGTATAAATATGAAACAAATTTCCTGTCTTTCTTTTCTTTACTTTCAGAATTTATTGTCATAATTTTTTAATCATTCTGCTCAAGTGGCCCCCACTCATTGTCAGCTCTGTTGTTGTTGTAGYTGTTGTTGTTTGAATKCCAACTCCTCATGCATTGTCCAATGGAAATTAAAAATTGTTCACATCGCCTCGGCAGTTTATTATATGGCGCTGTGGTCTGTGGTCTGGCTTCGAGCTGAAGTTGGAGTTGGAGTTGTTGTTGGAGCTGGAGCTGGAGACCCGTGTCCGGTTCTCTTAACTGCCCAATCATAATTCACTGCGCAGCCAGCCATCCAGCCAGTTCATATGGTGCATAAGGATAATCGCGCGCATCCTTTCGGCTCTCAACCGCTCGCCTCTGCGTCTGGGGGTAATAATTTAAAAAATTGCTCTATTATTTATTTGAGCATATGTCAATGAAATTTATTTATTTATTCACAGCAGCAACAATAAACAAAATGCCTGTGAAGTCAGCGTGCTGTTAATGAGCAGCATGATGGCTGGATGCATGCGCCAGGAGGCGGCGGCGTAGGGCATGGTCCGCACGGTCCTGGGGCAGACGCTGTTGACGTTAATTGACCGCAACCATTTTTTGCTGCTGCCACTGCTGCTGCTGCAGCGTGCAGTAAATTTTAATGAAATTGCTGCCGTGCAGTGGTTGTTGTTGTTACTGTTGTTGTTGTTATAGAGGCGTGGCCTGGACATTGCTACACTTGCAACTGCATCTGCATCTGCAGCAGCAACAGCAGCAGCATCGGCTCAAAGTGCTGATGACACGCCTGTCAGCGACACTTTGCGCCGCTTGTTGCATGAAAACATAAAAAAAAAAAAACAAAAATAAAATAAAATAAAATAAAATGAAATTAAATAATACAGAAAAACAAAATGAAAACGAAATATAAAATCACGCAAATTGCCGAGGCTTAATTTGCGATGCCCTGACAAGGGATAAGCGGCCAATGCTGCCCTTGTGGTTGTTTTTGCTGGTGTTGCTGTTGTTGGCGATCGTGTTTAATGTTTTTCTTGCTCGCTGGCCATTTTTGATGTCGCTGCATTTATAAATTAATTAAAAATAAATTACTTTATGTTGCATGTCGCATTTCATTAAGCTTAGCAAGCGACGAGCATTGCCGAGCAATACGTATTTTATATTACAACAAAATGCGCTGCATGTCGAGTGTGAAGCAATTGTTGGAGCTAATTGGGTATGGCTTATATATCATATATGAGAGATTTATAATATACCATATAAAAAACATTTCTTGTTGTTTCTTCGGCCAGCAAACCCAAATGAAACACACCAAAATATTTCCCTTTGCATTCATTACATACAAGATTCGCATCTCGAGGCTGATGAGCCTCAGCTCAATGATGAGCTGATGTCTCTCGTTCTCTAGATCAAGATCCAGTTCTGCTTAATACTGAATTATTTAAAAGTCTTAAACTGTTACTAAACATACAGGTGGAAATTCTAGAGCAAACTTTTCTAGCCCATAAAAGTTTACCATAAACTCGCACACAACCTTGTTCCATTCAACTCTGGGATCCATTCATACAGGCTCGATTATCAAACTTATATGGGATTTTAATTTCAGTTTGTTGCACGCGCTTGATTTATTGTTCTTGCTTATTCTGCTATTATTTCAATATGTTTCTGCAAGCATTAGTGCACAAAATGTGCAATTTCTCTACCAAGGGCTTCCATTTCTTGCCTGCTGAGCGAGGACTGTAACAAAGTCACGAAAAGGCTTACTCATACTCATGCAAAATTTTAACATTTTCATTATTATTTGTGAGAAAGGTATAAGAGCTTTGATGCACATTAAAAATACTTTTCTGCATCGAGCTTGAACATACATTTACAACGCACACACATTAAGAAATCTGAGCAGAAATGCGTGTGTGCGAAACTCTGTTGAAATTACAAAATCCCAAAGATTTAAGTAGCTCGTGCTTTAATCTTTTTTACGTAGAAATCGTTATACGTTCAAATGCCAGTGTAGGCTATATTTAAATAAATATATATAAATATGTAATACATATGTATATAATGGATATATAATTCATTTTAGTTATTTTATTTATGTAACATTCAGAAAGAGGTGTAACAGATCCTTGCCCTTCTGAGCCTTATTCTTCTGTTTTACAGTTATAAATTCATGGCATGCAGATTAAATTTGTTTCCAATCATAGTTTTAGTTGTCCAGTTTCAATAAAATCGGTTATTATTAAATTTTAATTACTAAATTATAATTATTACGTTTTTGTATCCAGACTTGAATAATTAATATTTTTAATATAAATCTTGTGATATATATATTAATAAAAATTATTAATAATTTCATTAATTTACTTATTGGTCTATTTTATTATTTTAAATGCAATCAGGATCAGGAAGAGTTACTTCCTAAGTTTGAGGTTAAGAAATTAAATCAAACTGTATTTTA